TTGCTCTCTCAAGGGGTCACTACAGAAACACAGCCAGCAGAGAGGGCTATCCACATTTGGTCTGATTGCGCTGGCATGTCCTCTGAGATGTTTGCCATGAAGAAATTGTTTCCAGTCACATTTCTATGTCAGAGTTCTTTTTGGCAGATGTATGTAGGCCTCTCCAAACACGGCATGCTGATTTGACCGACTAAGGTTCAAGCACTTCAACGAGCTTTCACCAGTGAAGTTCAAGCCCATTCTTGTTGGAGCAGTTGATCTGGAGGAAAGTGCTAGGCATATCCTTAAGACCAACCACCACCCACAGATCATTGCCAAGGTAGGGCTCAATTTCTGTTTTGCAGGTTGATGAAATGACAGCCATCGGACATTGACATATTGACACATACCACTGTTGCAGGATATGCTCCAACGGAAAGTGACGGAAGATGGAATCTATGTTTTGAACGAGCTGACTGGTGAATGGGAGCGCATCCCAAACAATATAGACCTGTATGTGTTGGGGTACCCCTGTACCCCCTGGTCAATGCGCCATGTCTGCAATTGAGTGTCAATTGATCAAGCAAGCTCACACACACACACCACCCACATCAAACGAACCCTGACTGTCCATTCCAAGGCGTGGGAAGGGTGCTGGCTTTAAAGATGAAAAGTCCAAGCCATTCCTTGCCGGGTTGAAAACTGTGAAAGCATTGTTGCCAGCCATATGGGTGCTGGAATGTGTCATGGCTATGGGGAGTCGGAGCACGTCGGTCTCAGACAAGGACGACCTTACTGTGGCTTGGGAACAGGTTAAGACTGAGGTCGGAGGTGAGTACCAGACTGTTCTTTTCAAGAACCGCTCCCCACTATCTCATAAATTTCCCATTCTTCGTCCACGCTTCTACATTGTCGGGGTCAAGGGCACATCGCATGATGCTCACGAGCTTCAAAGGATCGCCGAACAAACCTCCAAGAGCATTAGTTCAGAATGCCCGGTGCCGCCAAGTTATCTGAGATTCCTCAACATTGAGAATTATCATTTAAACTGGGACCGGCTCTACTGCTTGTCACTCGGAGTTTGCATCAGCCGACTGTCAGTTGCTTTGATTGTTGCCGTCACTGTCAAGATTCCTTTTTTTGAGTCCTGCTTGTGCCCCCAAATCAGGCCAATTGGCCATGAGATCATGGAGGCGATGGAGTGTGGCTGCAAGCTCAACCCTCTTTCTGTCTGTCCAAAGCACCCTTGCCACTGTAAGATGTGCAAGTCCGGGGACAGTGATGCCTGCAAATGGAGGCATGCGCACTTGGAGTTTTTGAAGAAGAAATTGCCTCAGGTGAGTGTCAAGGATGAAGAAGGCAAACTGACCTACATGCAGCTTTTGGAAATGGCTAAGAACGATTGTGGTGTCAGCAGCCCGCGTGAGAGGAATCTGTTGAACATCATGGCCTTCATGCACCAGCCACTGACCCGCTCTGAACTTGTGTTGGAAGCTTTGACAAAATTGTCACTTTTCTATGTCAGGGTGTTGGAGCGCATGCGGATCGTGCTCGGATCGCGCTCGGATCGTGCTCGGATCGCGCCAGATCTTGCTTGGATCGCCTGCAATGTTGTCAGGACCTCAGCCAGACCATCGGATGGTGCCAGCAGCGCGTGGATGGTGTGTGTCCTACGATTGCTCGCAAGTCAAGGCTGTGGGTTCTGAGCGTTGGCAAGGAGTTGGATGCAGGTGACAAGATGGACTTGATGGGGATTCCGCCGGACGCCAACTTTACTGGCTTGACCCCGGCCAAGGTCCACTGCCTTCTTGGGAACATGATGCATGTCAGCGACATCGGGGTCATGTGTGGATTGGCTTTTGGTCTGAGAACCGAGTTGCTCCGCTAGACTCAGACTTGGACTTGGACTTGTCCACGATTCTGAATCAGCTCATAGACTCAGACTTGGACTTTCACGTGAGCTTTGGGGGCTTGTCCACAAAACGTCGGACTGATGTTGCAAGCGGTCGACTTTTGATCAGAGTTGATGGCTGCCCGGAGGAGGTTGGGTGGTAGTGCGTGGCTCTTCCTTTCAATTTTTGTTGGGGCCCTCTGATGTTTGTGCCATGTGTTTGTGGCAAGAAGAGCTTGGGCTAGCCTCGTGAACCAAACAGTCACATGTCAATGTCAAACTTCTTCAACTCATGTGTGTGTGTGGTTCAACTCTTCTCAAGCTCTGAACACAATCTAAGGCTGTTTCGCGAAATAGAGAAAAAGACGACTGTTTAACACTTGATGTGAATTTTGAGTCATTTGCAGCTGTGTGCAGCCTTTTGTAGCGATTGGCTACTGCGAGTTTTGTTGATGACAGTTGACAGTCAGATTTGGTGATACATAAGTGGCACTCCGCTAGTTGCCTAAGGCCCCAAAAGTCGATTCAAGTCACTTGCTGTCCCATTTGACCCATTCCTTCGTGAAGTGATTCTTAGGGAAATCGCATTCATCTGACATCTGAGTCACTCTAACTATTCAATATTGTCTGTCGGTTTGGAAGTCAGTTCGATCGCTGCTCACAATTAATATTTGCTTTCGAACTCTGCCTGTCCGTCGGACATTATGTTCGGCAAGTTTACATCATTAGTTGTCCGTCGATTGCTATATTGTTTGGAACTCTGCCTGTCCGTCGGATAAAGTCTTTAAGACTCTTGTCTGTCGGTTTGGAAGTTCATCCATCATCTGTATGCCCCTGCCTGTCCTGTCCGTCGGAAAGAGTCTTAAGGACTCTTGCTCTTTGCCCAGGCTATGGTTTGGAACTCTGCCTGTCCGTCGGATAAAGTCTTTAAGACTATGCCCCTGCCTGTCCTGTCCGTCGGAAAGAGTCTTAAGGACTCTTGCTTTTTGCCCAGGCTATGGTTGGGAACTCTGCCTGTCCGTCGGATAAAGTCTTTAAGATTCTTGTCTGTCGGTTTGGAAGTTCATCCATTCCTGTATGCCCCGGCCTGTCCGTCGGAAAGAGTCTTAAGGACTCATTGCTTTTTGCCCCGGCTATATGGTTTGGAACTCTGCCTGTCCGTCGCATAAACTCTTCAGAGCATGACTCTTGTCCGTCGGCTTGTTCAAAGAGTCACCTCCACTTCGTTTGCACGCTCGTACCTGGGTTCCTACGTCCCACAAGAGTCACACCTCCACTAGGTTTGCGCGCTCGTACCTGGGTTCCTACGTCCCATAAGAGTCACCTCCACTAGGTTTGCACGCTCGTACCTGGGTTCCTACGTCCCATAAGAATGATACAACAGAAAACAATGATGACTCTGGTGTGCAAGGCACGTGGAGATGCTCCACGTGCCTTGCACGCTCGTACCCAGGTACGAGCGTGCAAACACGTGCCCGCTTCAAGTCACGTCCCATAAGGAAATGCCATCTCCACTAGCGTTTGCACACTCGTACCTGGGTACGAGCGTGCAAACCACGTGGAGCATCTCCACGTGCCTTGCACGCCAGAGTCACCAATGGTTTCTGTAACCCAATTCTTATTGGACGGGAGTGAGAATTCAAAGATTCAATATTTTTGTGTGTGCAGAATGAATGTGATTCGCTGATGCTCGAACAGCAGTCTTTGATCAATCCACCGGACTTTGACACCATGAGCAGTGATGCTAGCAAAGCATGGGCTGAAGCCCGGAAACATGCAAAGACCGCAGTCTTGGATTCTTGTTTGGATACACCTTGAGCTGTCAACTTTTACTGTCATGTCCTGTTTGTACTGCTTCGCAGCTTTGAGTGACATCTAAGGACCTGGGAATCGATGACGCTTGGTCCAAGTTTCTTGCATCTCCTGACATGATGAGTGAAATGAGCACAATGCTGAGTAGTCTCAGTGTGATAGACAGTCACAGCTCTGCAGCTTGTTGTCCTGCATTGACCCAAGAGATGCTGGACTCTGGTAGCTCAGTGATCGGGTCAGTGAGCATCACGCAGCTCCACTTAGAGAGTTTTGCGTATCCAGGCTGCTTCCAAGCAAGACGTATCAAGGTGGCCATTGATGAATGGGACAAGACACCGTTCAACCTTTGTCAGGTGATTCAGGAACAAATTGAGGTGAATCGGAGCCAAAGCCCGGATCTGAAAAAGCTTCAACGCTGCAATGGTGACGCTGGGCTGCTTGGCGGGTACAGTGTGATAAAGACATTTGAGTTGCATTGCAAGGCAAAGTTTCATGATCAGTTAATCATCTTTTGGTTGATGTATCATTGAAATTAGGATTTTTGCTGCTGCATTCCTCTTCAGCCTTATCAAGTCGAACCAGTCCGAGCACGTTGTTTATTGGGCGCAGAGAAGCTTGCAAGACATTCCAGTCAAAACAGCTGCCTGCTTGAAACATCAGTCAGTCAATTCCAGTCCGGTGACATTCCGAGTCTCTGACAAAGGTTGCAGCTGGGATTGGTGCAGACTTCCTCGCTTACAAGTTCAAGGGACTTGCGAAGGAGGAGCAAAAGCGGGACGTGATGGGCATGTCTGCCAAAGGCAAGTGCACCTTGCTTTCCGAGCTTGTCAAATCCACTAGCCCTGCAGAGGCAGCGCCTTGCTGTAACATTCTGCCACACATCATTTGAAAATCTCCAGTCATTAATGGTGAAAATTACCAATAAGCTGACTGAGGTGAAAAAGATTAACATTCGCCAATGGAATCAAGAGACAGTTGATCGCTATGTGCGAGTGGGCCATCGGCTGCAAACAATGCCAAAGACTTCTTCCGCACTTGATCTTTATGAAGGGCACATGGGACGAGCTTCGCTTCTTGATGGTGTCACCTCTTTGAGGTCATTGGTGAGCTCCTTGCCAGCAGTATAAGTGACAATTTTCAGCAGTTCAAGTGAAGGTACCACAGCATTGTTTGTCGTCTGTCGCCAGGCTTAAACCTTGGAGACCTTGAGTGCCAATACATCGCAACTCAGTTGAAGATTAACACCATGCATGCCGGACATTGTTTGAGTCTTTCATCAGGCGGTCACAAACTTGTCTAAAGTAAGGTGACACGAATCATGCTTGAGCACAGAGCTGGGATTCGAAAAGGTCGTGATTTTGGCACACTCAGATGCGGGTATGGCAACTTTGATGTTGCAACGCGACTCAAGTCGATCTTGATTCGTCGTGACCTTTACGTGCACCTCAAGTCGATCTTTAAGGAGTTCGATGGCTTGATCACAGAATTCATGGAAGATACTTACTATGGTCAGATGAACGTATCGCCGGACGGATCTTTTATCAAGACAGACCCAGACCAAGACTTGGACGAAGGTGGATCAGAAGCTGGATCAGACAAAGAAGGTGTGGAAACTTGCAACGTGAGCACTTTCGTGACATTTGGTCCTTTGAAGAACTTATTGACACGATTAGCACGCAACACGTTTGAGGTTGCAATGTGCAAGCTGGCAAAGGAATCTGTTCCTGGGAAAGCTCTCACTCTTACCTGCCTCAAGGATGATGTGCTTGGGAAGGCAATCCAAGACTGCCGTGCAAAATATGAGACTGATTTCCCTAAGGTAGCCGTGGCTGAAGTTGAGCCCGCTCGAGAACTTCACTCCGGACTGGAGGTGATCAACAAGTTGAGCATTGGTTCGGAGGAGGAGTACAAAGAGGAACTGGCTCAGTTCAACCTCAAGGCGACGAAGCACGAGGACGATGCTGTCAGGGACTTTGTCTTCTCACGAGTTGAGATCGTGGTCAACCCTCTTGACGACACACTGATTCCAAAGTTGCGGAGGGTGAAGATGATGGAAGAGAGGAAGAGGAAGCTGTACTTCTACTCTGTCGCCGGAGATGGTGCGATCAATTGGGAGGCGGCGAAGAAGCGTAGATTGAACCCCTATGCTGGGACAGGGCCGGGTATTTCGGAGTCAAGAGTCTCGGCAGTTGTCCGACGATGTCCGACGTGTTTGTTTGAAAGGTCCGACGGACACACAAGTGATTCCAAGGATTGAAGACTGTGGTGGACACCTTTGAGAATTTGCAAGCAAAAGAGCCGGACGAGCACACCTCCGGACGGAACATCCTTGGAATTTGTGTGAGGGGTTCGCAGGGAAAGGTGAAACCCATGGAGGTGACTTGACAGTTTGGAATACAAATGAACAAATGCAGCGAGCCCTCAATTCAAGTAATGCACACTGCCCCAAGGTGACCCGAAAGGCTTTGGCTTCGAAGGTGTACAACCTGGCCACGGCTCTTGTGGATCCTGACCCTCAAGACCTTCTATCAAGATTCCGTCGAGGTCGCCGACCTTTTGCGGGCAACGTGGAAGAGAAGATCATGCTTCGGAGCCAGAAGGGTCTGACCGAAGCGAAGACGACGATGAAGTATCTCAAGTCAGATACCTTCTTTTCGAGATTCCCTATTCCGCTGTTGCCATCGAACACGTGCCTTGGAGCCAACCATTGCGATTCATGGGTCCCCACTATATTCCCCACTAATCATTAAGCGCAAGAATGTGACAAGGATCCCTCTGTGCTCCCACACTGACTACGCAGCCATCTTTCAGAACGACGACAGTGCTGGAGATCGAGATGAAGAGGTCCCTGAATTGAAGCTTAACTTTAACTTTTTATAAGTCCAAATTTTAATTCAGTCAGCTGATGTAAATTTCACCGGGCATGGCACCCTGCAGGACCTGGGGACAGAAGACGCTTTTGTGGAGGTGCAGGATGGTCAGGTACAATGCTTTCCGTATGAGCATGCCCCGATCTTCAAGCAAGAGCTCATCCATGTATTCGGTGCTGAAGTATTTGTTGACCTGAGCCCAGAGCCTCTAGGTTAAAGTGATTGATGTGCAATGTGCACTTTGGGTTTGTGCGCTGTCCCAGACTTTGTTCATGGATCCATGAATCTAAGGGCTGGCTATGGGATCATCGCCGGACTGAGCGAGAACACTCGTTGCGTGGTCGTCTGCAGGAACAAAGCGCACAAGGATTTCCTGCTGAAGAATGTGCCTCTTGGCTGACACTTTAATCATTGGACTAATCTAGCAATCTAGCGGCGGACATCTGACATGGACTACTCAGGTTTGCTTGGGTCAAGCAAAGGCGCTTGACTCCAAACTTTGCTCCGCTAGCAAAGCCAGACCACCTGCGTGATTGGGAGATGAAGAGCAAGTGACTTGGACGCATTCATCTGACAGTCCGGAGATTCTTGTCCAAATCGTTTTTGTCCAGCCCAATGGTTCCTAGGAAGCCCACTGCGCCTGCTTCGAATGGGAGTGCAAAGCCTGTGCCTTCTCCAAAGCCTGCGCCCGTGGGTCAGCCTGCAATGGGTCAGCCAGTGGATTCGGCAGCAGCAAAACCGTCAGGTGGCAGCGGCAGTGGAGGAGCTTTGGCTGGCTTTGGCCAAGTTGTTGTGTAGGCTGCAGACCAGTTTTCGCCGGACAAAACTTGGCAGCGGCGAGCTTTGGCTGGCTTTGGCCAGTTGTGTAGGCTGTAGATTTCACCGGACCAAGCTTGGCAGCGGCGAGCTTTGGCTGGCTTTGGCCAGTTGTGCAGGCTGTAGACCAGTTTTCGCCGGACCAAGTGTGATTCGGATTTTGACCCAAGTGACCAGAGTCCAAGCCTGATTTTTTCCATTGTCACATTGTCCATGAGTTTGGATTGTGTTGCCGCTCACTTTGCTCCTTGATAGGCCGCTCACTTTGCTCATTGATTGACAGACTGGGCTCAAGTCATGAGTGAAGAACTTGAAGAAGAGTTGAGCAAGCGGGATAAGAACAGACTGAAAAGTGAAGCCGGAACCTAAGGCCTCAGGATTCCTGACTTTTGTGAATGACAGCTGGCTTGAGGTGAAAAAACTTATGTCGAGTGAGAGAGGGCCAAACATGACTTTGAGGGAAATTCAAGATGAGATTGAAAGGAAAGTCATGCCCTGCAAATGTGGGAAGGCTTACAATGTTGTACAGAAGGCTGTCATGAAGTTCCTCAAAAAAACGAGGAAGTCACAACAACCTCGGTCACAACGACCAACTCCTCACCCGCTCTAAAGATGCCAACGGCTTCAAAGATTGTTTGCACAAGTTCAAATGATCTCAGTCAGCCACAGTCTTTGTCAACGATATCTCAAAGCTGTGCTTCACGTCGTTTGGCCCAAGCAAACAAGTTACGATGTGGCAGCCTTTCTTCACGCCGGACCTGCTACACAAATATGAGATTGAGATTCCTGATCTTCCATCTGGTGGTGGGCGCGGAGGATTGAGATGCCCTTTGACATCCCTAGTTGCTGGACTGAATTCAGTTTGCAAAGGCATTTAGCTTGTCAGCCATTGATTCTTGATCAAGCAGCTGAGGTTGATCCTGAAGATGGAGTTGCTTCCTCAGCCAGGTGTCATGAACAGCCGCCGGACTAACCGCCATGTTTTGATTTTTAAGCTCTTGGAGTATTTGTTTCACCGCCCTGAGGTTGTGAAGGATTGGGTCACTGATCCTGATTGCGCGCCACGAGCCTTTGTCACCGCGGCCCTTGGGCAACCCTTGCCACGAAGAGAGCCGTTTCTGCGATGGAGAAAGATGAATGACGATGCTCAGCTCAAATTTATTGGATTGAGATTTCATTGCAAAGATAATCTATAACTTATTTTCGCTTTGCCAAGGAGAGAAAGCAGATCTCGGACGCAAGGAAGTTGGCTGCTCAATGGCTCCAGGACAACAAGTTCCTTCGTTCACACTTTGAGAGCACATCATGTGTCAGACTGTCTTGAACACTGACAAATTCCAAGGCTATCTCAGATCTTTGGAGGCCTCAGCATCCAGGAGATCAGCGCTTCGATGGCTGGCCGGCAAGACATGGATCTACAAAAGGTGAGGCTCCAAGGGCAGTGGGTCGATGTGGTCTTCATCCATGCCCTCGCATGCGCATGCAACGTAGACGCTGTCATTTACAGCGATGAGACTTTGACACTTCAGACCTTGGTCGGACGCTCCTTGCATGAGCAAGACGAGGTTGCAGGCGTTATCCCACTAGTGATGAAGTCCAGGTACCACTGGTGGCCAGTTCTCCCGCCGGACATGTTGCCAAATGAAAGTGTCACAGTGCATGTCTCTGCCACATGCCACAGAACTGCCAGATGAGAATAATTCTGATTGCGAAGAGCTATTAGCTGAAAAGGCCACCGAGCTTGCCAAGCCATTGGCCCTCCAGGAAGAAATCAAGGTTTGTGAGTGCATATCAAAGTGGGACCCATGGAAACTGCCGTCAGCAGAGCTTGTTGAAGCCCTTCAGACACTCGGAGTATTTATCACTCATTGCTAATAATTTAGATTCTTGTCTGACGGTTCATGTGGGTCCAAGGAGCTTGGCTACTGCATCATCGAGTGACATCCCAAAGGGAATTTTAGCAAAAAGCCGCCAATTTGCTATTGCGCAGCTGGACCGGGAAGATCGAGCTCAAGCAGACACTTTGTCCATGTCTGTCTGTAGTATTTGTATGTATTTGTTGTAGAACCATTGTTTGCAATGGTGCATTATGGTCTGAGTCTTTCAGTCCCTGGCCTGGCTTAGCTCAGGAAATGCATCCTCACAAAGCATATCAGCGAGCTGAGCGAGCTTTGTGTGCAGTTGCCACTGCTGGTGTGGGCAGGATTTCTTTTGGCCTGACAAAGAAAACAGTGTTCAGCAGAGCTCTGGCTGCCAAAGCCCATCTGCGAGTGGAGGAATTTCTGTCACTCTCCCAGATCGAATCTTGGATTTGGGGTGATTTGGGTGGTATGTATGAGTGACAGCTCTGATGAAGTCACACTTGGTCATTGGACTTTGAAGCAATGATGTCGGACATGTGCAGCAACTCAGGAGATTCAGGTGAACAAGGAGTGTGGCAGGGGTGTGAAAACACACCCCTGTCTTGAGCGGTTCCGGTGCGACCCTGGTCTGGTCAGGAACTGGCGCTTTCTATGGAGCTCCATGCCAAAGCATCACCGCCGGACACATTTGATGGAAGCGGCCAGGGGCCAGGGTGGCTTTACCTTCCTTGGTGTGTCTGTATGTGTTGAGGCATTCAAAATATTGACGGGAGTCAGTGCGGGAACATTGCAACAAGCTCGCAGCGATGCCGCCAAGAACAAAGTGACTGCGCTGTCACGCTCGGAAATGGGCCTTTGGCAGTCTGTGCGGAATACCCCCCGTGCTCACAAGTACTTGGACACTTGCACACGTTGAGCTTGCGTGTGTGTGCACATTGCATCAGTCATGAGCCTTGTCATTGAAAGTCTCAAGCCGCACCTCTTGCACAACTCAGGATGCAAGAAACTGGTTGGAGGTATATGCAGAACGACATGGGGAATGGTCACCAATGGCTCAGAAGCTGTACTTGCCTGCCGGACGGAGAAGCTGGTATCATTCAGCATACTGGTTTGAGAGGACTGCCCCACTATGTCAATTATTATGCTCTGTGTGTCCGACGAATGATCCTTAGGTCCATGTGTTCCAGGACCCAACAGAATTTGGACCACCTAGATGGCAGGCCAGCGGACTTGGGAACCTTCAACAATAGCTGGCGAGTTGAGCTGCCATGGATTGTGTTGGCAAAGTCCGAGAGCCTTTTCACAGGTTACTTGCAATCTTCAAGTAGTTAATTACGAGAGTCTTCTTCATTGTGTGACCCACCTGTTGACTCTGAGGCTGCAGTGTGTGCACCTTCATGACCCAGCTTTTGGATGGGACTCCTCGTGACCAAAGAGATACCATTGAAACCATTCGCCGACGATTGGGACAGCATTTTGCATTCCAGGCAGCGCAACGAATCGGGATCCACAAGATACAGGAATCTGCCAGGAGATCAAGTGGCGATGAGTGGCCGCCTGGCTTACTCAGTTCTGTCATTATTTGGAAATTGTTGCTGTCTGTGCATTTTACTATCGTGGCATGTCCAAGGGTCTTGTCGATCGACAAAATGGACCAGAACAAGTGCAAGCTTCCAACAATTGCTGGGATGCGCCTTGGCTGGAGGTAGGATACTGTCCTGCTTCATCATTTGACTAGCAACCGCTAGTTTGCTGAGGTCTGGTACTCATTTGTTCAAGACCGGCGCACGGTTTGTGGTGGGCGTGATCGGGATGTGGTGGCAAGGACCTCGCCTCTTGGCAGCACCTTTTTGTCTTTGACTCTGGACAGCTAGTTCTTTGCGTCGCTGATGTTGAACTGAGGTAACCACAAGCCATGGAGAGTTTGGACAGTCTTAGAAAATTGTAAGCACGGTGCCAACATGCAAACGAGTGTCATTCTCCGAGCTTTTCATGAAGCAGTCCTTGACGCCGGACACTTTCCCCTTTCGTTTTGCTTCTCGGTTGCACCTTTACAGCCTCAACCCATGACAGTATTAATTCAGTCATTTCGCTCAGGTGTCGTATCAGATAACACGCCAAAGGAGACCAAGAACTCCACCATGATGGCCTTTGCGATTTGGTTCTTGTCAATCATGAAGTCCACCCGGCTCTTCAAAATGCAGTTTGCTTTTCCGCTTGTGGGTCACTCCCACGGACCAATCGACAGACATTTTGCGCAATTATTGATTGAGTGTCTGTGTGACTCATTGCTGGTGTGGTGACATTTGAACTTGTGCTCAGGATTCTTTTCCAGGCTGGTGGTATCATTGCGTGGACGCTCATACCTGACATTCATGCAGCTGGAGCAGATTGTATCCAACTCTCTTCGTTTCTTGGCTGATAGGGGCTGCTTTCCGTCGGACATCATTGGACATAAGCATTGATGACTAAGGTGGCTTTGAGATCGGACCTTGGAACCACTTGGGCGTAACGTCGGACTTCGAGCAAATCCGGCGGA